AAATAGCAAAAGAAGAGAGTCAGTTAAGAGAGAAAATGGCCTTTGAACAATTAATCACTGGAGATTCAAAACACTTATTAGCAAAAATTTATAAAATGCTGTTGCATTTGATACAGAAACAGAGCACATAAAAGTTGTATGATAAAATGGATGCAAAATTTTGGAGAAAATATATGTATGAGCCAGTGGGGAAACTTATGGATGAGAGAAATCAAATTTACTGAATCTCAAATATTAAGGGAAAATTGGTATAAAATATTTTTAGATGGTATAATGCCCAAATACATTGCAAAAACTAACAAAGGATACAATGGGAGTGCTGGAAATGTCAGAGTGCAGACACAACATTTTATCATGTGGTGGACATGCAAGAAAGCAAGAAAATATTAGATAGAGATACATGAAGAAATGCAAAAGATACTAAAACTTAATTTTGCAATGGACCCTAAAAGTATGTTGTTAAATATTCTACCAAGCAATATCACAACAAATACACAGTGAGCTATTTAACTATATGGTGACAGTGGTAAGAGTAATATTTGTGGCAAAATGAAAGGCAGAGGAAGGAATGGAAGAATAAACTAAAAATATGTGACAATGGCAAAATTAATAGCTTATATACATAATAGACCAATCTCAGAATTTCAAGTATTTTTAAATTATATAGCTGAAAATCAGGATTAAATTGTTAAAATATAAAATTATAAATAAACATATGTCTGTAAAACTAAATTGTCAGGTATGTAGTAATTAGAAAAAGATAGAACAAAGTTTATTTATTTATCAGATTTATACCCCGCCCTCCCCGCAAAGCAGTTTTTTTCAGGGCTTTTTTTCTGTGGGAATGCACTGGAACAGAGTTCCAGAACCTCTTTTGGTTTTAAAGTTGTCAAAAATGTCTCAGTGGAATACTTGGATCACAATTTTGTTATCTTCCCAGGGTTAAGAGGCAATAGATTCTTGTACCATTTTGATACTTTTACCAACCTAATAAGTGGTGACCCATTCTTTGTTCCTTCTATTCTTTCTTCTAATTCCGGCTCCTTTATTCCTGTATTCCTTCCTTCTTTTGTTCAGTTGACTTCACTGGATATAGAAGGGTGCAGTTCTGCTTAGTACTGACTTATTGGTTTAATTGAGACATTGTGCCAAACCATGGAGTTTAATGGTGTGAATGTGTTTGTATGCTCCAGCCTTCCTCCTCCCCTCACATGAGTCAGTTATTTCATTTACTACAAACCATAGTTTCATTTTGTTTCTGAATTGGCTAAATAATGGTTTGTATTTGCCCTCCAAAACTGTATTGAAGCTAGTTTGTAGTCTTGGTTTGGAGGAAAAGCATGAACTATAGGTCACCCATTTGGGTAATGTCTTGCTACTAAAGTGAAATAATTACTTGAGAGGAAGGGTTATATGAGCCTGTTCATGTTATACCAAATAACGTTTTGTGTTACATTTAGACCAATGACAATGCATTTGGCTGTATTGTCTTTGCTTCTAGCTATTTTAAAAACATGAGTAGGCAATTTCTCTGTCAAATAGTTTAAGAATTTTTTAAAAAATCTCTGTTTTGCTCTGGCAACTTGGAAAATAATATTATTTTTGCTCATGCATTTCATTAACTTATCCCTTTGTCCCAGTTATCTGGCCCATGGGCCGTATGTTTGACACCCCTGAATTAAGTTCTTTTTTCACATATTATATTTGAATTATCTGATAAAATTTACTTGAAGAAAAAGAAGAGATTGGATTTATACCCCGCCCTTCACTTGGAGTCTCAGAGCGGCTTACAAACTCCTTTCCCTTCCCATCCCCACAAGAAACACCCTGTGAGGTAGGTGAGGCTGAGAGAGCTCTGAGAGAACTGCTCTTTTCAAGAACAGATCTCACAGAACTGTGGCTTGCCCAAGGTCATCCAGCAGCTGCAAGTGGAGGAGTGGGGAATCAAACCCGGTTCCCCCAGATTAGAGTCCACGCACTTAACCACTATACCAAACTGGCTCTCCACCGTGACTTACCAATCGGTATAGATCCTCAGAATATTTTATTTAGATGTCTCATATATAACAGTTTTTACATGGTACCAATTAGGGTTGTTGTGTTCTGAGGTTGCAGCTGAAATACCACAAATGATATTAACAGCTTCTTTGAAGAAAATTCACCCCAAAATATCTTGTACTTTTTAAAATGAATTATTTCATATTGTACATGTTTAAGTAATGGTTAATAAAGGGCCTGCTGCTAGAGGAAGAAAAGCATACTTGTGCCCCCCTCGGCCCAAAATGTGACTGCTGAGACATATATTCAACAAAGTAATATATTTGGTATCAACTCCTGACTGGGTTACCTAACAGTGTAACAAATTTTTGTATTACTGAGAGGTTTGGTGATTTCTCTCTTCCAAAGTGCAGCAGGGTCATACATAGAGCTGAAACCTATTCTGGTGTCTAAGCCTCATTCTCCAAAGTGATTGATTAAACCTTAGTTTCTCTCAGACAGGTACATAATGTAATCAATAATGATAAATGATGGACCCTTTATGTAGTTATGTCATCTATTTTTTTAACAGTGTTTATAAATTACCTTGGGTTTGTCATATAAACATTTTACCACTATATATTATATCAGGGCAACAAGGCTTTATTTAAGTGAAGGTTTCATAAACACAAGGTTGTTGTTGAACACTTCCTACCATCTCTGTCTTTAATAACTTAGTTCCAAGTACAATAGTTGTTTTAAAGGCTCTTGTAGAATTGCAAATATAACACATTATTTTTCTTTAAAAAATGGACAGTTTTACATATGTACTATTCTATTACATCACAGTTATTCCTGAATTCATAGGATCATTAGGTTGTATACATATGACCAATTTACTAGCACATGGCATATTTTCAACCATGTTGTTGCTTTGCCATCTGTATTATTACAAATGTGGTTTAATTTTTTTCCTGCTGCATATTCTTATGAGTGATAAAGACTGGATTGTTTACCATGTGAAATAAAACAGAAGTCCAGTGGAACCTTAAAGACTAAAAACATTTATTTAAATATGGAAATTTGTGAGTCACAGGCCCCTGCCACACGGCAGGGGATAAGTCGCTCAAAGCGTGGCTTTTAAAAGCCGCTCCAAAGTTGAGACGCCACGGTGGGATCCCACGATCCCCTGGGCCGCGGCGCCTTTTCTCCCCGGCACGATCAGATGCCGGGGAGAAAACACAGTTCAGACGGGGAGCCTGCCAAACTGCGCATGTCGGAGCATGCACAGTTTGGCTAGGAGCCGGGGATGAGCCGGCGCAAAGACGCGCCGGCGATCCGACGGCCCGGCTTGCGGCGCTTCAATCAGAAGAGCCACCCAGGTAGGTGGTTCTTTTTGGTGTGGGTTTTCGGCCGGGAGAGACGGATCGGAGACGGGCAGGCAACGATTCCCAGATGTTGCCGTGGGATCGTGCCCGTTTGATCTGCCCCCGTTCTGTCTCGCTCCCGGACCAAAACCCCTCGTCTGAACAGGACCACACTTTACTTTTCCATATATATATATGAGATCCTGTTTAAGGGGGAAGATTACAATGAGTGGAGAGAGTTAAGGAAGAGAGTAAATTCTGTCCTGAACCTTTGAAATGGAAATTGGGGGGAGGGGGGTTTAGAAAGGTACATGTGAATATAATCATAAAAATGTAAAGTGTGAGTTTTCTGTGTGTCTGAAACAGAATAGCAGTTACAAATAACAGATGATGAGAGGTCAGAGGTTTGAACATATAAGCAAGGTGATAAGTGAAAATTGACAGATACTGGTATAATGCTATAGTGTGGCAAAAACATGTTATGATTAACCAACCATATACATATATATATATAGTCCACCTTTTTAGTAATCTGCAGCTGGTGGTGGCATTGAAAAGGGAAGGCATTTCTCCCCATTTGCAGAGTTTCATAGCTACCATCTTTTTAACAATAGTTTGCCTTCAGTTTTTAAATTTCACAATGCCAGATATTGTTCATGTCCTTTGAAACTGAAAAGTACGCAGACAGAGAGTGATTTCAGCAAAGCGTACTTTATTCGAACAGGAACAAGTCGACTTTGGCCGGCTCGCAGGCCAGCTTATATCCCCCGAGAAACCGCCACCCAAAAACACACGCCTACTTCCCAATAGGTTATTTACAGTGGCTGAGAGTCCCATAGGCTCTCGGCCGGGAACCTAGCCCCCTGATTGGAGCGAGCTAGGATCTGCATAGTCCATTATCTCTTGGAGCGAAGCTCGACGTTTGTCTCTGACCGCGTGGAGCCTGAGCCGGCCACGCGGTCTGGACTGGATACATTACAGAAATATTTAAAGATCTGAATTTTCTAACTTTGTAAAATATATGTATTGGCACACCTATATTGTTTAAATTTATGGAGAGACTGTAGCCTAACATCTCTGAGATTACATCTGTATGTAGTGGTGTGATGAGTGTTGGTTCAGGTAGGTATATAAATGGGGTTTTTTTTTTGTTTTTTTTTAAATCATGTTAATACTGAATTATAGATCCCCCCCCCCAAATTTGGGTATCTATTCACATGTTTTCACAGAACCGTCATCTTTCTTTTTAAAAGCAAATGTCATTTGAATAAAAACACACAAGGTGAATGTATATAGATAATTTAAATTGTATACAATAGGGATTTATATTAATCTCCTATTCAACTGCCTACCTTTTTACACAAAGAACCAGGAAGTAGTGATGGAACACTGCAGCAAGGAAAGAAAGGATAGGTAGATCCTTTGTCATTACAGCATAAAAACAGAATGAGGCAGTGGCTAGGGGCTGAACAATAACAACCACTGAATAGTTCCAAATTAACCAACTTGCTTTAAGTGAATAATAGAATGTACTACTGTGTGGTAGCATTAATGTTTAATTGTGGGTTTCTTGTAGCATGATGCCAAATGTTAGGACTACCATTCAGGGGTGATAAATGTTATATGATATATATATATTATGTGCTATTTTGCTAGGTACCCAGAGCCTTACACAGCTCACTTCCTGCCAGGCAGTGATCCAGAATTTGTGGTATCACCTCAAGCTGGAGAACTTCTTCCACTTGACACAGCAGGAACACTCATAACTATTGGATTCAAGCCTAATATGTACAGCAAGAAGCACAGAGCAACACTGGTAATACAGGTAAGCCCTAACAGTGGATTTCTTTCTAGTGGCTTTCACTGTAGTAAGCTCATGAATGTAAAGCAGGGGTGTCAAACATGCGGCCCGGGGGCCAGATCAGCCCCCCGGAGGGCTTCTATCAGGCCTGCAGTGGAACTGGCTGGCTTCTGCTTCTTCCAGTTCTGCTGCTGCTGCATCATTGTAGGTTTGCAGCTTACAGATACACACCTGAACAGCATGCTCAAGATTGCAACGGTACTGACATTTTGATGTAATAATTCAGAGCAAGAGGTGTCAGTTATCAGACACTGTTAAATAAATAAAATATTGCAAGAGTGCTAATGTTTTAAGCATGTTTTTATTTTAAGTAAAAAAAACCCTTTGTGTTTGTGTCCTTTATAAAGTTTACATCTCCGCTACCTGGCATTACATTTTATGACACACATGGCCCAGCCCAAAAAGGTCTCATTTATAACAGATCCGGCCCTCATAACAAATGAGTTCAACACCCCTGATGTAAAGATTCCTTCCTATAATAAATGCTGTGGGTTCACTTTGCTATAAAAAAGCACCCCCAAAAGAATATTTTACCTTGGTTGAATTATATTTAAAAAGTATATATTCAATGATTAGAAAATAAATGTATTGACTTTCAAATAAATGCAAGGAATATGAAAAAAATCTTAGCAACATTAGCTTGAATGCTAACTGCTGCCAGTAGAAGTATGCATTTTACCACATCTTCTTGTGCTCCTGCAGTCCCTTCTGACCCCTGTCAAATATATTCTCATGGCCACTGGAAATGTAGATTAATAAACACAGGTTGGGGCACTACAATGATGAAGAGGGCAATTTTCCCCCTTCACCACTGCAGCCCCCAATCTATGCAGCTCTGTAACCCCAGGGCCTAACTACATGTTACAGTTTCTAACATGTAGAGGAATTTCACATTACCCTTTTAAACCCATTTTGAAGCCATTTTTGATCCATCATGGAGTAAACCTGTATAGGGCTGCCATTTCACACATGGCTTTCCCCTTCCGGTAAAGAGCTGGATCTGAAGCGGTTTGCCATTTCAGACTGCACCGCTTTTTCCCGCTTTTTCCACACCTTTTTCCGCCCGCGTGGGTGATCTCTGGCTTTTTTTTAAAGTTCGCTATAGAGCGCTATAGTGCTATAACACAACACTCCAGGCATTCCAATGGGGTTGCTATAATGCTGTTTTGCTGTTGTGTTATAGCGCTATAGTGCTCTAAAGTGAACATTCAAAAAAAAAACATGGAGATCGCCCGCGCAGGTGAAAAACGGCAGGAAAAAGCGCATCGGAACCAGGAGAGGAAACTGAAGACTACTTGGAAGTGGTTGACAGGTAAAACGCTTCAGCCCCATTTCCTAAACGGGACAAAAGCGTTTGTGTGTGTTTTCCTTGTATGGTTTTAACAGATTACAAACTTTTCAGAGTGACTAATATCTTAGAGGTGGGGAAACTGTTAGCTAATAGAAAGGTACTTTTCTCATACATCTATGAGACCTGCAAACTATGTAGTATGTTACTCAGACCATAAACAACCATACAATACATACAATATTTTTAAACTCTATAAACAGGGGGAGGATAACTTCCCAACCAAATGGTATGGGACAGTACAGCATACCAGTAAGAAAGTGGATGAGTCCTGGCTCATGTCAGTCTTTTAAATGCCCCCTTATGAGCTGCATGATTGCAGCTGGCTGAAGACAGGTGAAGTGCCACCTGAGCTAAATGATGACAGCCGGCTGGGGATGACCAAGGCACATGCCTCACCTATCCCCCAGCCAGCTGCCACTCTTCAGCCTCATGGGGCTGCATTTTAAAGGGAGGTCCCCTATGTCACCCACATTTGAAATACTGCTGCTCAGCTCATGCCCATGCCCATGTCTTTCCCATTCCCTAGCCAGCTGCCATCATTCTGCTCATGTAGTGGCGTTTCCAGAAATGCCTTCCTTTGAAATGTTGCCACTCAGCCAGACTTATCAAGTCTTAGGTTTAGCAGAAACCTTTTGCCCTCAGCCTCTGGCACCAAACAGTTATGGGAGAAAAGGGTGTTACCCAAAGAGACAGTCTCTACTTAAGTTGGGGGAATTAGCAAAAGGAGACAGCGCAAGAGGCGGGTAACTGGTAGAGAGGTGTTTCTGGCTCTTTAACCAATAAACTGCCCCTCAGTAGGAGGAGGGGTCTGACTGCTAACAAAGGGGGTATAAATGTTGTTGCAGCAATGCAGTGTTGTCACATGCAGTGTTGTCCAGTCGCATAGCCAGAAATGATGTCATGTGTTGTGCCGATGTGATGTCATTTCCAGTTATACGATTGGGAGCGATGACGTGGTGTTGCACTAGAACTAGCACTGCCCACCAAAATTCCCGGGGGTTGCCATCCAAGAGCTGGTGACTCTAGCTGCTCAGGTCATGAGTGAACAGGAACATGAATGGTTTGCTTGGCATGCTTGCTTTAGGATGCTGGAAGGCAGCCAAAGAGAAGGTGAAATGCCACCACCATTGCAACCTTCACATCCTCCACTTTCATTGCTGTCATGTGAGAAATGTATAAGGGGTAACAGGCAGTCCACATGACATCTTCCCTGCTCCCACAAAATTGTGGAACATCTGATTATGTTGATACTATATAAAGCAAATGGTAGAAACCCAGACTCACCCCTTTCCAGAATGGCACAGCTGTTCTTAAATAAGGCCTGATAATATTTGTGATACTGTGACAACTGTGGCCATGCACTGAAACGTAAGTAATTGACTGATATTCCCTCATGATGTCCTTTATGAGCTTTTTAAATACTTTTCCTCATCTCAAGTACATAAGCTTGACCCTGTCTTATTTAGGCAGGACTGAGTAGATGAAATTGATTCCATTTATCTGTAATTGGGCTTCTCCCAAAACATATGCCCCGTGGAGTACTTCATAACAGCTTCTGCCCTGACCTCAATTTCTAAGGAGTATGACTGATGACAAGTGGGCAGCTCATCTGTTCTCTGAAACTCTTCTGATAAACTATATTTGCATTGATAAATGGGAGAACAATTACATATGCAGGGGTAAGACATAAAAATGATAAGAAACTACTTTGTATTGGACCACCTGAAAAATGACAATTGTTCTAAAAGTTGTTAAATGAAAATACTGTGACCTGTAATTTGGGGGGGGGGGATCTGATGTCTGAATATGATGATAAAATAATCAGTGGCTGAGGACTAGTTAAATTGATCATGAACATTAAACAAATATATTCCCAGTGACCAAAATATTAACGTAAATCCAGTTTTGATGTGTTTCCCACCATAGGATTAATTTTGGAATTGATCTGTTACAGAAGCTTTTAGTCTTTAGCCACAGGAGAATGTTGGGGATGTTTCACAGTGCTTTCTTAGTTCATGTGAGGAAATGTCCAGTAGGCCTGCTTCTGTGTGAACTGACCATGCATTCTAGAATATGTCCTAGAGTCCTCTCCTCTCCAACACTTAGAAGTTCATAAGCAAACATTTGGGGGGGGGTTTCCCCTCTGTAGTCAATGTGGAAAGATGTCCATGAAGTAGAAAATCTGGAGATTGCTGGTCTAGATGTTCTAAAAAAGTATAGTTTCAAGTCAGAGCCTGCCTGTGTCTAGTATCTTGCCTTCTTACTGCTTTTAAATCCACATGCTTTTAAATTCTGCCATAACATTTTCAACACTGAGTATTCTATGGCATGTTTTGTTTTGTTTTGATGTAGTGCATAGGGCCCTACTGATGACTTTGCTGTAGGGAATGTATGGAAATTCTCAGTCTCCATAACAGATGAGCGTTTGAGCCAGTTGGTAACTGTGTAAAACTTCAAGATTTTTTAAAATCTGAGATGAATGGTCACACCATGGAACGTGTGTTTTGAATTGTTATGAATATACAGACAGTCTCTTCTTAGACAAAGCTTGTGTGAAATGGGATTGTCATTTAGCTAGCCTGCCTGTAAGAGCAGAGGAGGCAGGGACTGAATTTCCCTTTTAATGGGAGACCATTGGATTACTTTGAAAATCAAGACCGACATCGGTGGTAATTAGCATATGGTATTGATCTGAGGTTGTAAATTTTGATATATTGTCATATTTGATTAGTCTGTATTTATACTAAAACAATCAGACTTGTCTTAGGTTTCTATAAATTCATGAACTTCTTGTAATATAATTTTTGGCATTTTCTTTAAACTCAAGGTGGTCGCTGAAGATCTCCTGGAATTACAACTGATCTCCAGGTGACAAGAGATCAGTTCACCTAGAGAAAATGGCTACTTTGGAAGGTGGACTCTATGGCATTATACCCCATTGAAGTCCCTGCCCTTCCCGAACCCCGCCCTCCTCAGGCTCCACCCCCAAAATCTCCAGGTATTTCCCAACCCAGACCTGGCAACCCCATCCCTCAGCTGCTGCCTCTTTCTGCCTGAGGCAAAATTGTATTTATTTTATTTTATAAAATTTACATCCCACCTTTCTTCGTTCACAAGGGCCACCAAGGTGGCTGACAAAGTAAAAGATGCATAATAAAATCACATTTAAAAACCATTAACCCACCCCCAAAACATACGTCATTAAAACAATTAAAAACAGAGTTAACATACAAAGACAAAAAAAAACAATTAAAACACTGGTGAAATGGAACTGCTTCAGACAAATTGGACCCTGATGCATGGTAGCCTTGGCCTGGGGCCTGACACATAGTAAAGAATATTGTGACTCTTAAAAGGGGGTTTATGACCAAGAAATATTTCTTACTTGTTTTTAATATACATTCTCTTGTTAGTGCAGCTTATCAGATCTTTTCGCTGACCTTGAAATGCTCAGTGAATCCTGCTTACCATGGAAAGTGAACCTCAGGTTATATTTTCTTGAAATCTAAATTGTTAATATGAGGAAATACACACCATTTACCCTTGTACAGGAGTTAACAAGGAAATTAGTTCATTCTAGAGGAATTCCCCCCTCCAATATGCCTGTGTTATC